TATAGTGCGCCACTTGCCACTACACCACCTCCGCCCATCTGTATATCATATCTGGCACTATTAGGTCGGAAAACTGCCTAGTTAGGGAGTTATAAAGGCGCAAAGATTGGCCCGTGTGTACCCTCGGACGAGTTTCACACTGCACTGATCACAAGGGAAACCATGACGGAAGTTCCAAAAACTTGTCATGACTAATAGCGACAGCGAAAAACAGTTCTATACAGTTCTGGCTTGATGTAATCAGCTCTTTGTGCAATTGCAATAACTGAAATCTCGTCCGAATACCACTTCCATGTCATTTCCGTCATGGCAATCTCGTCCGACCTCTATTTTCCCTACTTATGAGGAGCCATATTTTTCTCGATGTCGGCGAATTCTCTCGCTTTCTTCACTACCGATGAACTATTCTATACTTCCGCTTTTCGAATAAAAACGGGTACCTCAAAATTATCGTGAACTGTGCCTTTAATCATATCAAGCTTTATGCCTTTCCATTCGATTGATCGGAACATTATGAGAGCTGCAATAGAGAGTTTTTTTCAGGCACTGCTGGTGGCTACGGTACCTTCTTGAGTTAAGTAATAACCTCCTCTACCTTGGTCGATATCTGCTCAGTAACAGATTGTTTGATGAAGTCTTTTAGAACAAACCAGCTTCTTCCCTTTTCCACCCTTCCTCCCAGCTTATTCAATGCCCTTTTGTGCCAACTTCTATAGGCCTCCTATTTACCAGAATGGAAAATTATTGAGGAGATTAGAAATCACCTCAATAATTTTCCATTCTGGTCCGTGTAAGTTTCGGAAGTTTCGGAGGAAACGGGAAAAATCGGAGAGAGGGATGAGCTCATCCATTATCATAGGTGAGCACAAGGTTAGCCCATCCAATATTGTAAACTAGCAAATAAAATCCACTGTCTTTAGGTGTTTTCCTGGTTCTACTGAGCCAGTCTTCCAAAAGACCTTGTGATGTGGAGAGGTCTGCACGGCTATCGCAGTAACTTACTCCACTCTTGAGTATCCTTAAGAAGTATTCATGAAATTTACGAGCACCGTCCGTTCGAACAACTGTATCGTTCTTCACGGTAATTACCCGCATAAAACAGTCCGTAAAGTTCTTTCAGAGTGGGCATGTGTACAGTTGAGAATACATAAATGTGATGGGTGATGTCCGAATTCACAGG